GTCAGTTGAAATTGACCACTTCCTCCTTTGTAACTTTATGAGGCTATGAACAACTTATGACATAAAATCTATTAATTATTTTTGTAGAACTCCCCATATACACACCATTGCAAACCACTTATAGTCGAGATGTACAGCTTGGAATATAGTGAGTGCTCAGTAATGCAGGGATAAAGAGGGAAAACTAGAATATTTGAAATATATTATTGATTTTAAAAGTCTTGTGCATGTGTTTAGCATAAGGAAAAGAGTAGCAATGAATGGTACTAGGATAGTTTAATCATCTAGTCTATTCTACTTTTAGCACCAGTGGAGAAATAGAGTCTTAGAGAAGTGATTAATCCAGTCATACAGCACTTGGTGCTAGGGAAATAAGTAAGTGTCCTGAGCTGGCTTCCTAATCCTGTGTTCATTAACTTCATTATACAATTCTGAATACTCTGTGTGACTCCAATGTGGAAAGCACATCAAGATGACTTGTAAATCAAAATATCCCAAAGAGGTGTGCATGTTGTTTGATTTGTTAGTGGCTCCCATGAGGTAAACATATTTTTTTCATTGTATTTCCTTGATTTCATTTGCAAAACATAGTTAAAGCAAGTGATGCTGTGACTGGAAAATGGTGAGACCTGTTTGGCTTCCACGGCATTAGCCAGTTTTTCTGGCCTTGTTCTTAGCCTGGCCCAGAGGCTTCAGCTTAGGAAAGCAAGAAGGTAAGCTGCCTGGGGCAGTGAGAGAAGGGATGCAGCAATTGGCATTCTGCACACAAAAGCAAAAGAGCATCAGGACAAAGTGATTTCAGTAAGCTGCCACTTCCGTCCTGCCAAAGGTACCTGAGGTCCTTTTGAAAATGAAATAGAAACACGATAGATTTAGTGATTTAGTGAGTGTCTTCCCTTGTCACTGGCTGCAGAATGTTAGTAAATTTCATTTCTTATTGAATATAAATATGCTCTTGGAAGAAAAGGAATGCTAATTTGAAAATTATATTTAGGAATATCAGATTATAGCACAAATGGAATATATGAAAATCAAATCCCATTTTATACTGTGTCTTCTGAAATTCCTCTTTCCTAATAAAGCTAATTTCAAATTGGCATCTATTTTTTCTCTGTGTGCTTACTACGTGGCAGGAAGATGAAGTTTTTTATTTATGTTTTGGGGAAGCTGTCTGACAAGTGTTGATTATTGCTAAGTAGCTAAACATACTTAAATTGTGGAAGAATTAGAAGATCCATCTGCCCCTTGTCATGGGGGCCCAAGTCTTCCCAGTTATAGACTGTAATGGCTTAGTGTTAATTGTCGGCTTTACAGAATCAAGAATCTGGGTTTGCCTGTGGGGAATTATCTTGATTAGGTGGACTGAGGTAGGAAGATCCTCCCACTGTGGGTGGCACTATTCCCTTAGTTTGGGACCCAGATTTTATAAAAAGGAGAAAGCTATTCAGAACAAGCTTTCCTCACTTTTTGCTTTTCAATTGAGGATGCAGTGTAATCAACTCCCTCAAATCCTGCCCCGTGACTTCCATGTCACAATGAACTATAGCCTGAAACTGTGAGCCAAAATCTATCCTTTCTCTCATAAGTTGCTTTGGACAAAGTATTTTATCACAGCAACAGAAAAGAAACTAAGACACAGACCAAGGTTTACCATCAAGTGACTTGGTGTTGGTTCCTGGTCAGTGGGAACAGGAGGAACAGTATTTTGAGGATCTTCATCTACTGAAAGCATTTGAGTAATTTTCTTTCCTCAACCACAGCCCTACAATCATGACTTCACTATAGCCAGGAGAGCATGATGCTTAGAGAGGAAGGTCAAAAGACAACATATTTACAATCTTACAGTCATAGATGCCTTTTCTTGGTGGCACAGTTTCTCAATCAAGACTCAATTAGACAGAAAAATGGATGGCTTAAGAATGTATAATGTTAAATGAGGTCACCCAATCTCAGACAGTAGAAAACCATGTTTTCCCTCATATGCAAAGACCATTGTAATACAGAGTATAAGGCACAGAGGAATGCTACATAGTGATGGTCTAATTAGGAGTTCTTTAATAATTATCTATCGGTGGAGAGGGGGCTATTGCCCAAAAGAACTCTTGACCCCTAGGAGAAGCAGAGTTTATAAAGCTTAAAACCACAATTACATCATGCCAGGGCAAAGCCACCAACTATGGATATATCAGATCACCATAATTACACCAGACCAGGGGTAGGTCAGTTAACAGAGGTTATCAGTTAACAAAAAATTCCTAAGTTTTGGGTAGGAAAAACAAGTTCCTCAGAGTTGCAGAAACAATGGGCTCCAGGGAGGTGCTGGTAAAGGAGGTGCTACCTGACCAGTTGTAAGTTCACCAGTATTGTGGAAACAGCATACTCCCTGAAACCGCCTGCCTGAAATGTTCTGGCTGGCTGGCTGCAGTGGGAATGGCTGGGCAGAAACACAGAGTAAAGTAAAAGTCAGCTAGAATAAAGTGGAGTCAGTTTTGCCATTTCACTACAAGTCATTATAATGCCTATAATGTACATATATAAACAAATGCATGTGTGGATATAATATTTAGAACTGAGAATAAGAAAGGGTAATTTAAAAAGAAAAGGAGCATAGGTTTTTGTCTTTCTCATGGCAGATGTGTGTATACAACTTTCTGCATATTGAAATAGCAGAAATCATTTCTGTCCAGTAACTATTAGCCCTTTCAGACAGTGATTGTGAGCTGAGCTTCCTTTTTGATTCTACTGACCAATAGTGGGAATTGGACATGACTGGACACTGATTTGTTGTACATGTTGAATGAGATGATGCCATTATTGTTCTGGTACCTATCTTTTATTTTGCTATAAATTTTCTAGTAAAAAAATTTTAAAGACTGTTAATGAGATAATTGAGAGGATAAAGAAAGACACCATTGTTGGTCATGGTGGCACACACCTGTAATCCCAGAATTTGGGAATCTGAGGCAGGAGGATCATAAATTTGAGACAAAAAAAAAACAGTGGAGGGGGAGACAGAGAGAGAGACAGAGACAGAGAGAGACAGAGACAGAAAGACAGAGACAGAGAGAGACAGAGACAGAGAGATACAGAGACAGAGAGAAAGAGAGAGAGAAAGAGAGAGAGAGAGAGAGAGAGAGAGAGAGAGAGAGAGAGAAAGCTTTTCATCCAGTGCTGATGATGCAGAGATTGGATTACCTATTGGGAGTCCAATTAACATTTTCCCCAAATTCATTTTTTTTTTGTCTTTTTGAGATAGGGTCTCCCTGTAGTCCCAGCTGACCTGAACTCACTATGTAGACCAGTCTGACCTTGAACTCACAAAGATCTGCCTGCCTCTGCCTCCCAAGTGCTGGGATTAAAGGCATGTGCCACCACGCCCAGCTCCAAATTTACTTTTTTATTCAACAAGTCCATACTGACCATCTACACTGGACCTGGACCTGTGTTAGGTGCTTGCGATGCAACGCCCCCATGGCAGTGACAGATTCATATAAACCCCGGGCAAAATAAATGAGATTATTTGCTTTTCAAGTGCTATAGAACAAAGAGAGAAGGAGCTGAGATAAATATCAAGAGGAAGTACCTCCCTTAGATAAAATATTCAAGGGACAATTCTATTTTTAAAAAAGTGGTAAGCTCGATCACGATCATCTGGTAGCAGTGATTGCCAGATAAGCTGCCTAACAACTAGAGTTCAAGCTCCAGAGCCCACATAAAACTGGAAGAAGAGAAGCAGTTCTATAAAGCTGCCCTCTGACGTCCACAAGTGCACCATGACACTCCCATACCAACACACACACACACACACACACACACACACACACACACACACGCAACAATGAAGTTTTTAAATGGTCTCATTTAAGTTGATGCTTAAAGAGTTGTAGCAGGTAATTCTGAGGGCAGAGGAAGGGCATTTTGGACATAAGAACCACAAGGGGACTGTTAAACTCACAAGAATCTATGCCAATGAACATAAGTACTACCTCCACTCCTCCCACTTTAGGTCTCAGCATGCAGCAATATGTGAAGATGAAGGGAAAACACTAGTGGAAAACACTAATATGAAATCAAGAGGAGATCAAAGACTAAATCCTGTCCCTTAGGCAGCCTAGACCAACCAGTTAATATTTACCCTGGTCCCACGGGTGTGACCAACCTGAAAGCGAACTGTGGAATTTCCTGAGACAGAGCAGGATGCAGAGACTGCTTCCCAATGGTTAGAGTCATGGGAAGAGCAGTATTAAAATTGCCTGTTTGACAGTTCTCTGTAGGCATCCACCCTTCAGACAGTTCTCTGTAGGCATCCACCCTATAGGAAGAGGGATGATGGTGAGAACAAGGACAGAGTTTGCTCACTTTTGTGAGTCAAGCCACAAATCAGTCATTCAGTGTATTTCCCAAATATAATCCATTTTTAAGAGATACAGTAACATATTCTGTGTTCAGAGATGTGAGAAAAAAACTGTACTTAGTAGGATTCTGAGGAAGAGGCAGAGGTGACTTGTTAGAGAGCTCTCTCCATGGAGATCCAAGATGCCCTGTCCCAGGAGGTACAGGGATGAGTACAGATCCTCATTAGAAATTACTAGTCTTAGGCCAGCTATGCAGACAGGTTCTCCCTTATCCCAAGTCCACAATCTTGGAGTAGCCTGTGAGATAACAGTTTCATATAATCATTTACAAATGTGAAGGTTCAAAGTGCGTCTGTGACTTACCCAAGCCTCACAATCCATGAGGGACAAAACTGGAATTCTCACCCACTCCTCACAGACATCCAAACTCTCACACCTCTAAATATGGATTTCTAACACTAGGGAGTCCTGTCTAGGAGAACTTCTTATGTGATTCCCTCCCCATAAACATGAAGGAAAACAGGGTTTATGCAAACCAGTTTTGGCTTTAATCTCTGTGCTGGAAGCCTGAAGCTTCCATGGGGGGCAGAGGGAGGCTTGATGCTGAGGACTCTGATGTCACCTCTTCTTTTGCCTTCCATGCAGTGCTCCCGAAACTGCAGTGGGGGCTTCAAGATTCGTGAGATTCAGTGTGTGGACAGCAGGGACCAGCACCGGAGCCTGAGGCCATTTCACTGCCAATTCCTGGCTGGCATTCCTCCCCCACTGAGCATGACCTGTAACTTGGAGCCCTGTGAAGAATGGCAGGTGGAGCCCTGGAGCCAGGTATGGAACCCAGAAGGGATATGCACCACCACACAGAGGTTGAGTCTGGTAGATTATCAATCTCCATGTTACCATGTGGGTGTAGAAGTAGAGGAAGACTTCACTTGCATCATGCCAATGATTGGGCTTCATTTAGTGACCCCACACTATCAGGGAAGCTGAGCAAGTCAAAAACGTTCAGGAACTGAAAGAACTCCATTGAGAAAATGATGCAGCATGGTTTCAACTATGACAATGCAGTGTTTTGTTACAACCGGGTCTCACAATAAAAATATTGGATAATTGGGAACCTTGCTGGGGAAATGAACACAATGAAATGACTTGAAATAATACGACTTTGATGAGAGCTATTTATACCAACCTCACTGTCTAAGTCTTCTGTCAGTCTGGAAATAATGGTCACATCCTTTCCACACACTGTAATTTTATATCCATCTCTCAGTTAAATATCGAAATCATTGTTTGCATAAATAAAAAGAAGGATGTGTATGTGTCTCTCTTCTGAGGATCCTTGGTCTACGAGTTTATGGAGCATGAAAACAAGGTTACTAATTGTTCTCTGGTAAAGTTTGTTGATCCCATTTTCCAATAGATACACACATCAATAGCTAAACATCAATAGGAAAGATCCCCAACTATATCCATTCATAGTGGAAAGATAACACAACATAGTGTCTCCATGGAGTAGTTATTTTATCTGTAATACCTGGTTTAATTCTCACAATGATGTAGGTGACAGGTCTTTTTATAGATTATAGATTTGCATTTTATAGATAAAGAAATTAAGATGGAGTATTAATTCAAACATCAGGCAGACTCTAATGCCTGTATCTATTCTACTGTACAACTTAGCCCAATAGGCCGAGAGCAAAGAGGGAATTGAGGAGAAAGACTGAATCAGTAACTATTTCAGGAGTACTGAGGGAGAAAGATTGAGAAATATACTTAAGGTTACATAACTAGAAAACAAATGATGGAGTATTAATTCAAACATCAGGCAGACTCTAATGCCTGTATCTACTCTACTGTACAACTTAGCCCAATAGGCCGAGAGCAAAGAGGGAATTGAGGAGAAAGACTGAATCAGTAACTATTTCAGGAGTACCGAGGGAGGAAACAGAGATACAGCGTTAATGTAGAAAGTCCTCTGGACTGTCTCACTTCCCAGTGGGTCAGCAAAGCATGTTGCTTCATCTCTGTTGCTTCAGCACTATGTGGTGTCTTGGGCGAGGGACAGTTTGAACAGTGTGACACTGTTCTCACTTTTCATTCCTTTCCCTGCTCATTTCTGAAGTGTACAGAGTGTCTGTTGCTCCCATGATTGGCCTCAAAATTCCCTGCATATACTGAGCTTGGTCTGGACCTGTTTAGGTAAAGCTTCCAAATCCTGGAAAGTTTGCAGATGAGTTGAGATTGCCTGGTAAGGGAAATGGCATTTTCAGATTTTCAAAGATGAGCAGTCAGATATTTCTGGTTATGAAAAAGTTCTATTTTTGTATTTACTCAGTAACTTCTAGAAACTCAACATCAACCTGTTCTCTGAAGGCCTCTTGGCACCAATTTTTCTAAATTCCTCTGTTCTGAACAAACCACCAAGTGAGAAGACTTCTCTTTGGAAAAACAGTGGGGATGGGAAATGTAAGGGTCAGTTGTTTACCTGGACCTGTTGAGGGGCTGGATAACTTTAGGTGTTCTGACTGTTTCATCATCATTATGCTCTATCTAATGGCCTGCCATCCTGGGAATATCCTGCACCCATTTGGTAAGTGTTAGCCATCCAAGATTAACTGAAAGGATGATGATGCATTTTAGCTGTGGCAATATTTCTATATCAGCAGTAGTCAAATATTAGAGTGCTTTAAAATCATCTGGAGGGTTTGTCAACATGTGATGGTGGTTCAGTCCCCAGAAGGTCCAATGAAAGGAGCTCAGGTGGGAAATCTGTATTTCTAGTAAGTACTAAGGAGGTGCTAACATTGTTGGTCTGAAAACCATATTGAGAACCATTGGTTATAATAATTTTTTTTGCCAGTTTTCCCTTTTACTTGGTCACGTAGCCCTGAATCCATATGCACATAGTCCACAGGAATTCAAAGCATGGACCACAAACCATATTGAGAACCATCGGTTATAATTTTTTTTGCCAGTTTTCCCTTTTACTTGGTCACATAGCCCTGAATCCATATGCACATAGTCCACAGGAATTCAAAGCATGGACCACTTCTACTTTGCTCTTCACATGGAGTTACAAACAGATTGAGTAAACGGGAAAAAATCCAAGTTTATTCTCAAAGCTGGAGTATTCTGAAGGCAACATATTGGTTCTTTTATTGAGTACATATGGCTAGTTGTATATAATCTCCTCATTTTCAATGATATTACCATACATGTAGTGGCTCCTATAATGGATTCAACATTAACAAGACAGCTGTAACTTGTTGGTTATCATTATAACCATGTCAATGCCAAATGTTTTGGGGGTGTTTTCATTGTATTTGCATTACTTTTCAAGATTAGTACTGGATTATTTAAGTTCCTCTTAGAAACATCATGAAAAGGATATCCTATAAAATTATTCTGGTAGACAAAAACCTAACATATTTTACAAATGTATTCCTTTAGGAATCTATTTCACAGTCTTGAGGTTTTTGTTTTGGCTTTTGTTGTTGTTTCTATTGTTGTTTTTGAGTATTACAATCCATACAATTAGAATACTGAGCAAATCCATCAATTTTATTATCCTTAATACAAAAGCATTAAACTCTAAAGCTTTTTACAGGGAGAGAGAGGAAGAGAATCGTGTTTTAATAGTAGGTAAGCTGAGTATGTTTTCTCCTTTCAGGGTGCCAGAGTTAATTATAATTTTAGAAAATTTTATATTCTTGTTACTAAAAACTTGTGCCTGAAAGCAAAACAGGTTAACATCTGACTTGTAGATAACCTAACATCCATTCTCAAATAACCACTTCTTTGCATTTTTAACCAAAATTCTTTCTTTTTGACACATTATTTGGCAACATTTGGTGTCTTTTGATTTTTTTCCCTTCCTTTTATCCTCAGCCACCTCCTTTCTCTTTAAGTTTTGTTTCACTGTTGTTAATTTCAACAACTAAAGGGTCCTTTTAAAGAACCTATAAAAATACTCCCGGTTCTAGTACAGATACTAATTTCTCTAATATACAGCCAAGATGATAGTAAAATATTTGTCCTTATCATTGAATAATAATCTGATTTTTACTTAATCTTACTCTAATATTGTGTGTTAGTGTTCTAGGTCCTGTGGAGGAGGTATTCAGGAAAGAGGGGTATCTTGTCCAGGAGGCTTCTGTGACTGGACAAAAAGACCCCCATCAACTGCTCCCTGCAACAGGCACCTTTGCTGTCACTGGGCCACTGGGAACTGGGACCTGGTAAGAGTTGGTTGTAGATGCTTTGTTATACCTAAGCTTTAATTCTGTTTCTATTTTTATTTTTAAATTGTGTATAGGCATGCATGTATGTGTGTGAGGAATGAGCCACCTGATAGAGATGCTGGGAACCGAATTTGTGTCCTCTGGAAGAGCAGGAAGTGCTCTTAACTGCTGAGCCATCTCTCCAGCCCATCTACCATAGCTTTAATATCCATTTTCTTTTGGCTATAAAGTACTTACACTCATCACAGATGTTCAGGACCCTTAGCTGACATGTAACATGTTCCATGTGCTTCCGTTCCATTGCTCTTCTTCCATCGGATACTTCCAGGCCTGCTGAAAGTTGCCCCATAGCCCCATAGGTGTCATGAGTCAACGTTTATTATCTTGAGTTCAGAAGAGAAAGGATCAAATATCAAAAATATTCCAGAGTGAAAAAGCCAGAGGAAAGGTTATTTGGGGCCCCAAGTTCTTGGTTTCAATGTCTTTTCTTAGACCCAAACAGAGTCACTTATATCCTGAAGCTGTAGATTTAGTCTGGCTTCATGAATTTAGGTCTTTAGTTTGCCCACAGAGCAGTTTTCCAGATGGATAGCCTATATGATGGAGAAGTAAAAAAATAATTAAACTGTAAATGAGAGAAAGATTATCTTATCAAAGTTTATTTGTTGCATAAATAACATTGTATCAGTGATGATGGGAAGAAAGTGGAAAATTCCCCACAGACAAATCCTGCCATTATTCTGACTTGTCTTATCTAAGTTCTCTGGGAAATGGAGTGTTAGAACAAAATCTAAAATGATTAGAAAATACAACATCAGGGAGGCAGAGATGACAGAGAAGGCGGAAAAGAAAGATAATCAAATGTGTAGTGCATTTCTACATTTGTTGTTTTTCCTAAGTAACCATCACTTTGATGCTAGAATAACTGACTGTTGGCTGAGAAGGGGAGGTCTCCTAAAAGAAATATGATGATTGCCTCTTGTGGCCGTTTATCTAGGAATAGGAAAAAGAGATTATCTACTGGCCTGGCTCCTTTTAGGTAACAAGCCTCCCCTTGGAGGGTCAACATCCCTGTACTTCTGGGCTATATGTACATTGTGGGCACATAATAGGTCCTATCAGGCCTCCTGACTCATTGGCAACAAGAAAGTCAAAAGCCAGGAAATAAGATGTGTGCAGTGTGGGCATGAGAGCAGGTAATTGGGTTGTGCTACCTAAGGTTGTGCTACCTTAGATGGGACAAATAATTGGGAGCTGAAAGACTGAAGGAGCCAAGAGAATCTGATACTAACTCTCCAACTATTAACATTTTAAAACACAGCCCTTTTCTCTCTTTTTTGTAAAATTTATTGAATTTTTGTTTATTTCACATAGAACATCTTAATCATCTTTATACCTCATTGGGTTGTGCTACCTAAGGTTGTGCTACCTTAGATGGGACAAATAATTGAGAGCTGAAAGACTGAAGGAGCCAAGAGAATCTGATACTAACTCTCCAACTATTAACATTTTAAAACACAGCCCTTTTCTCTCTTTTTTGTAAAATTTATTGAATTTTTGTTTATTTCACATAGAACATCTTAATCATCTTTATACCTCCTTCCCCACTGGCACCCTCCCATAACAATCCCCCCACACTAGATTTCATGAATTCTGTAATTTTATTAAAGCCTATCGAGTCGTTAGTGTCCCCAGACATCCTTCAGTGCTTGTGCATCCACTGAGGTCTAGACAGCCTATCTAGAGTCCCTCCCTTTAAGAAGATCACATTTGTGTTAAAGCCTATCGAGTCAAGTTAGTGTCCCCAGACATCCTTCAGTGCTAGTGCATCCACTGAGGTCTAGTCAGCCTATCTAGAGTCCCTCCCTTTAAGAAGATCAGCTCTTCCTCACCCAGCAGCAATCAGCTGCCAATAGTTCTTCAGCTAAGATAGGGGCCTGCTGCCCATTTCCACCGTTCTATGCTGGGTTTTTATCTACCTGAGTTTGCATGGGTCTTGTATATATGGCACCATTGATGTTAGGTTCAAAGCATAGAGATTAAGAGTCTTCAGAGTGTTGGTCCTTGGACAGGACTTGTATACTAAACTTCACCCACCCAGGCTCAGGGACCATTTCGGAAGAGGGAGCGGAAAGATTATAAGAACCAAGAGAGGAAGTGCATTACCATATGGAAATAGAATCTTACAGGCTCCTAGGACCTTGCTCATATGAACAGAGCCCTTTTCTACGTGAGTATATTTTGATGGTTGTAACTATAGCACATGCAAGTACAGCATTATACCCAACCCAATAGCCCCATATGTTTTTAGGTTTCTCTATTCTTAGTGACTGTCGGTGCTCACAGCTGCATAGTCAAACATGCACAGCCACCATCAGTTCGAATGCTGTTTTGAATTGGAAGTCATGCACAATAGGAATGAACACAGTAAGACTGAATCTAATGCCATGTTTCCTTAGTTTCATAGAAGCATAGGAAGGATTGTATCAGACATAGCCTCATCTCTTCAGTAAGATGCTCTCCAAGGACATCATTTCATTTGCTTCCAAACTGGTACAAGATTTGCATGGTTGGAAAGAAATTATAACCATGGTGTAAAAATAGCACCTTCATACTCAGCCTCTGTTTCCTGTCCTTCCTATTTTAAACTGTTTTGGCCACACATATACGAAACCATGTGCTAATTCACAGGCCTGTGTATAGGGCAAGCCTGCACATCTGGAATTTTCTAGTAGATAAGGCAACTTTCCACATTTACCTTAACTCTGTAGTTTCCTAGGAATCCGTACCTGAAGATCATTTCCTTCTGAAATAAAATGAACTAACCCTAATATTTACCCTTCATTCACAATTATATTCCATTAAGTTAATAAACCCAAACTTACACAGCTATTGTCCCCTTGTTAAAGAGTCTGTCTAGGGGCACCCACTGAATAGTTATCTAATTAATATTCACTGCCCCAAGTAAGGTTTGAATGCCATGAATGTTATGGTCTAGCCATAAACTTCAAATGCTAATTTTTAATATAGAAACAGCTGAGGTATCAGAGGTAGAAGTGACTTTCTTCACCCATCCAGGCCTAGGCCAGAGGTAGAAGTGGCCTTCTTCACCATAGGCCATGCTCACTCTTGGCAGGCATTGGTCCCAGCTGCCTGGATATGTTTCACTATTAGGCTCTGTAACAATATAAGCATCAAATTACATGTACCCATTGAAAAAAAATTGATACAGTGTGAATGATCATGAAAATGCTGCAAGTCTCAGGTCTTTAGGGAAGGAGAGGATTCTTAAAGCTACAAAAGAAGACTGCAGTGTAGTTGTCAGTTCCCTGAGGGAGCTAGAAGTCACAATCTCTAACATTTGGGAAGTGGGCGTGATAGGAGCTTCCTTGGAAGGGCCGTGCATCAACAGTGGATAACTGTGCACAGCACAGAACAGGAGGATAGGGAGTGACTAACACCTACAGAGCCAGACTTTGGAATTACGTCTGGCTTCTGCTGTCACTGAGTAAAACATACATACTTAACCTCTATCCCCCAGTCACCAAGTAAGGAGAAGGTATAAAACACCAAAGATGACACAGACTCACAAAGGGAACAGGAGACAACACCAGAGAGAAGGGTCAACTAAACTGGAATCTGAAAACAGATGGCCATTCAAAGGGCCAAACATGCCCCAGAAAACTGAAAGTCTACCACAAGGATGCTCCCAGTAATCAGACTCAAAGGGAGGTTTGAGTTTAAAGGGCTGGTTAAAAGTTGTTTGGGGCTTAACATGTATGGGAATACATGAGGTCCAGTGGGGGGAATGGATGGAGGAGGGGGTATAAATTTGATTAAGAACTGTTGTATGAAATTACAAAAGATCTCATGCCTCATTCTGGACTATAATCTGCAATCAAAAAAAAAAACTTTTTAAAGTTGTTTGTAGGACAAATTGGAGATTTAAATCTTTTCCTGTGTAGTAACCACAGCCTGATGAGGTAATGGAAGAGAGCCTAAAAACTAGGCATAGCTGGTAGAGCAAAGGCTCATCTCTTGAATAACTAAGTGGAAATAGCCTCAATAATTAATGTGATGCCCCTTCACCCCTTCTTCCTTCTCTGACTTCTACAGAGGCAAAGGAATGAGTTAGCCTCTAGGAAAACAACCAGCCTTTTCAATTTCTTCCAGATCCCCCTAAATAGCTAATTTCAAGTACTGCCCCCTGTGGAGCCTCCAGACTATCTCATGCCACATTCTGGACTATGGGCAGATAGCTGAGTTTCACCAAATGTGTGACAAGCCCTACAACCCCACACACCTATGCACTAATGGCAAAATAGAAAAACAAAACAAAACAAAACAAAAAAAACCTTAGGAAGTAGACACCTTGCAAGAAATAGATGAACCCCTCCAAAAAAAAAAAAAAAAAAAAAAAAAAAAAAAAACAAATATTAAGAGGCAGACCCACGGTGTAAGAAAAAGAAACTGTGGGAGAGAAACATTCGTGAATAGAAAGAAGCCCTCCAAATGTTGTTTGCTTAGTGTCGTTTTGCTTTTGGGTTCTTTTGGTTGGTTAGTTGGGGGGGAGGATTTTTGTTGGTTGACAGTTTGACTTACATAATGAATTTTAGTCATTTTCACACCTCCCTATTTCCTTCTCTCATCCCTCTCCCTCTCCCACTGGAACTTTCTCAACAACTTACCCTCCTAGTCCATGTCTTCTTTTTGTGGGTTGCCCAACCCCCAACTCATGCTTAGACAAGAAACTGTAATTAAACTCAGTATTTTGGCATTTTGTTTGTTTGTTTGTTTGTTTGTTTGTTTGAAGCAGGGTCTTGCATTTTAAAAATATTTTATCATTTTTATTTTATGTGTAAGAGTGTATTGCCTGCATGTATGTAAGTACACCCGTGTCAATACCACAGAGGTCAGAAGAAGGCTTTGGATTCCCCTGGAACTGGAGTTAAGGATGGTTCGAGGCAGCCATGTGGGTGCTGGGAATCAAACCTGGATCCTCTGCAAGAGCAATCAGTGCTCTTAACCACTGAGCCATCTCTCCAGCCCCAGGTTCTTGCTTTGTAGCCCAGGCTGGCCTTTATCTTACCATCCTTCTGCCCCTGCCTCTCTGAGAGTTGGGACTACACGCATGAACCATGACGCATGGCCAGAAAGTTTTTTTAAGAATAAAACTACAAAATTAAATAGATTAATAGCATAGTTTGGGGATATTTATCAAGAAAACAAAATGAAACTAAACAGATAAAGATAAGAGAAACAGAATATCAGTTTATATAACACCAGAATATTAAGGTTTCAGAAAGAAAGAATGGAGAAAATTAAAATGAGAAAACCAAATATGAAGGGCATGTATCTCTATAGCAAAAGCTGCAAATGTCACAATTAAAAGACAAAGCTTGGGACTGGAAAGACAGCTCAGTGGTTAAGAGCATTGACTGCTCTGACCAAAGATCTGGATTCAATTCCTATCACCCACATGACAGCTAACAACTGTCCATAACTCCAGTTCCAGGGGATCCAATGTCTTCTGACTTCCTCCAGCATTGCATGACACAGGGGCATGTACACACATGCAGGCAATACACTCATACACATAAATTTTTTAAAAAATTAAAAAGACCAAAATGTAGAGAATAAGAGACTGTGGAGAACATGTCCCTAGATAGGAATTCTGTATTAAACTTCTACCACTCAGAGCTCAGAGACCATGGCAGAAGAGGGAGCTGAAAGACTGTAAAAGCCAGGGGTGGTCGATGACCACAAAGAAACACAGTTTTCCAGGTGGCTAGAATTGTGCTCATATGAATTTACAGCAATAGTGATAGTATACACAAGAACCGTGAAAACTCAAACCAGACAAAAACCCAGAATGGAAGTAGGAAAATGACCAAGCAGCCCCAACCTTAGCTGAGGAACTATTGGCAACTGATCACTGCTGGTCAAGGGAGAGTTTGTCTTCTTTAAGAGAGTGACCAGGCTCCATTGGATGAATTCACACCAAGGGACATCTGGGGACACAAACTTGACTCGATAGGCCTTAACATATATGACAGAATGCAGGAAATCTGGTGGGAGTCCATTGGCCAGGTGCAGATAGAGGAGGGGTTCTATATATGATTAAGATATAGTGTATGAAATGCACAAAAATTCAACAAATATATATTGTAAATATATAGTTAGAGAATATGACATGAAAGTGAAAGAGAGCATAGATGGGAGAAGTTTCTAAATAAGATTAATATGTAAAGATGTAGTACATGAAATATATAAGAATTCAGTAAAAAAGAAAAAAAGAATATGTCCTGTGTGACTAAAACATGGCCTGTCACATATTACTGGTAAGTAAAAGAAAATTATTCAATAAGCCTGTTAGCACTCATTTATAAAACATCAAATGGGTTCTCTTCTATTGCTCCATTTAATTTGGTAGTGTTAGCAATAACAGAATCGTCTCTTTTATAGCTTCTTACAAAACATATATTTGATGAACTTGGGAATTAATTTTTCCGAAAAAGCTTTTATGGACAGACTTTCAAAGACTAAAATGAGACCTGTGTATCTCAAGATGTACGCAGCTTAGTAAGTTAGAAGTCTTTGCTAGGATATAACCAGGCTTAGCTCCATCCCTGTTTGGAGTGCTCAGTTCCACACAAGGATTCTAGATCTGAGCCTTAAGAGATATATACCTTCTCATGGAAGCCCCAAAGTCATACATTACCACAATTAACAGAACTCAGTTCAGTAACCATGCTTCCTACTTAATCCCCCGATTAAACACTACACAGATTCATGCATCTTAATCACAGCTTATTATCACTGGCTAATGAATTCATGGGCAGTGATTGCCTTTCCTTATTAATATTCTTATATTAGAATTAGCTCCTCTCTCCTAATTTGTCTTGACCAAAATGACCTGCATGATTTCAGTACCCCAGTCTAGCCTTTGTCTCTCTCTATGTCTTAAAAGCAACCAATCAAGAAAATAAATCGCTTGGGGCTGAAGAAATGGCTCAGCAGGTAAGAGCTCTGCTCTTGCAGAGGACCTGGGTTTGAATCCCAGCACCTACATGGCAGCTAACAAATGTTTGTAACTCTAGTTCCAAGGGATCCAATGCCCTCTTCTGATCACTGTGAGCACTACCCGACAGGGGTGTACTTACATACATGCAGGCAATACACTCATACACATATAATAAAAATAATAAACAAAATGTTTTTAAGAAAGAAAATAAGTCACTTTGTTTTTATGCAACAATCTTAATTTACAGAGAACGGGGCAGGGTGGGGGTGGAATGAATGATCTAGGATGACAAGCAGTGAACAAGAAATCCCAGATCTCCTAAACGCTAGTCCAGGACTCTCTCAGATTCCGGCTTGATTATTTTCCATCATTCTTATTTCTGTCCCCTGTTTCAGACTTTTATTGATTCAGAATAAATTGGTTGGGTAGTTATTTTTTTTTGTTTCTTGCCCATACCCCTGGAGAATTTGAGGTAAATTGACTGATTAAAATTACCTTCCAATTTAGTCACAGAAAACTCTGACTTTTTAATGCAAACATGAGACTCCATGCTGAGCACTATGCTTCAGGTTTTCTATATAGTAAAATAAAATAGAGCAGTAGACATTGGGAAAATGGAATGCTTCTCAACTTATCTATGGTCTGGGAAGTGTCTGTGAGAAATAGTGTTGGTAGCAGTATTCTGAGCTGGATAATGAGCCATATCCCAGTCTGAAAATTCTCTTATCTAGTGTTCTGGGTCTCCAATAATATTCCAAATGGCAAATGGAGTGTTTTGAGCTTGGTTTTTCCAGAATTTTCTCTGCAGCAATCTTTTTGAGTCAATCAATCTGTAGATATTTGTTGAATTTCATACTGATTACTTTTGGGGGGAAAAGGAACTTTTTTTCTGTGCTGGGAAGTTTTGCTCATGTGAAAAAGGTAAGTCTATCTGGGAATCCCTTTGGCCACCTTGGCCAACAACTCAAAAGAAGGTATTGCCTGTCTGGCATTGTTGCTTCTTAAGTAGCCTTTAGCTATACATATGGACTCTTATGAAATGAACAGCAGACCCCAATCTTATCCAAAGGAATATTGACAACTGATT